TCCCCTTGTTAAAAAAAAATAAAAATAAAAAAAAAAAAAGGTGAGCAAGGTAAAAAAAATAAAAAAATAAATAAAGAAGGGATTAACCAAAGAAAATATATGCACAACCCATGGACACAGACAACAGTATGGTGATGGCCAGAGAGAAGTGGGGAGGCAAGAGCAGGGTAGAGGGGACAAAAGGGGGGAAATAGGGACATCCTATATAATAATAGTAAAAGGCTATTATGCACATTGACTGAACGGCAGAATGACCGGTTGCTATGATGCGCACTGTCATCAGGGGGCAGACTCTCAATGCAGGAGCTGCCCCCTGGTGGTCAGTGCACTTCCATATGGGGAGTGCCACTCTGCCAGAAGCTGGCTCATGGCTGGCCAGCACAGTGGTGGTGGCAGGAGCCTTTCCCACCTCCGTGGCAGCACTTAGAATGTCCAACTAACGGTTTAGGCCCGATCCCTTGGGGGCCTAAGCCTTTAGTCAGACATCCCCTGAGGGCTCCCTGGCTGCCAGAAGGATGTCTGACTGCAAGCTTAGGCCTGATCCCTCGGGGAAGTGGGCCTAAGTCGACAGGTGGACATCCCCCCAGGTGTCCTGGACTGTGAACGGGCGCAGGCTAGGTTGAGGGATCCCCCCCACACACAACGCGTGCACAAATTTTTGTGCACCGGGCCTCTAGTGTCCTTATAAGAGGGAGGCAGAGGAAGATTTTACTACACAAAGAGGCCATGTGATGACAGAAATGGAGAGAAGCAGTGTCAGAGACATAGATGCTACTCAGCTGGCTTTGAAGGGGGAGGACAGAGCCTCTAAGAGCCAAGATATATGGTTAGCCTCCGGAAATTAGAAAAGTCAAGAAAAAATTCTCTCCTGGAGCCACCAGAAGAAACCATTCTTGCTGACACCTTGAAATTAGCCCCATAAAACTCATTTCAGATTTCTGGCACCCAGAATTGTAAAAGATAAATTTGTGTTGGTTTAAGCTGCCAACTTTGAGGTAATTCAGTATGACCTCATCTGAACTTGATTACATCTGCCAAGACTCTTTTTCCAAATAAGGTCACATTCACAGGTACTGAAGGTTAGGGCTTGAACATACCTTTTGGGGACACAGTTCAACCCATACACCCAGAAAAATAGCGTCAATTCATCTAAGTGGTTTTAAATGTTGATCTTTGGGAACTTTCCGTTTATCGCTGGAACTGTTATTGCCTCACTGAAATTACAAAATTCTTGCTGGACTTGGATTTCAGGAAATCCCAGAGGAAACAGTGAGGTAGGACGGGTGGGCTATTTTGAGGATAATCAGTTTGGTATGAACCAGAGAACATCCCACAATATATACATGTAGCACATCACTTTTATAGTTAGTGAGCAAAACTAAGCAATTTATTTTTGCAAGCACATACATAGAATATGTGTGTGTGTGTGTGTGATATTCGAATACGCTCTAAAGAAAAGCAGAAAGTTGGGGCGGGGAGGTTAGGACAGTCGGGACCCTATGGTCGCGGTGCGGTGGGTGCCCAGGTGTTTGTTGACTGGTAGCTCCCATTATTTCCTCTCTTTTGCATTATTTACCATATTTTGTATGTAAGAAAACAGCAAGCACCAATTATGCTCTATTGTAAAATTGTGTCTATATAACACAACATTTTAAAAAATGGTAGCAAATATGCGCGGAGAATGAGCTTCACGCACTAACCCCAGAAAACGACAGTAAGGGCACCCACTGCTTCCCCAAGCCAACTTTTCCAGGTGCTGACCGATGACAGAGTCTTGGGGAAGCTCACGCTAGGTAAGAAAGCACGAATAACAGGACTCGCGCGTCTCTGAAACTCAAACACCAAACATCAGGAGGCTCAGGGCGTGAGCAGAAGCATCCCGAGAACCGTAGTTCCCACGCAGGTTCCCACCTTCCCAGGGAGCTCCTGGGAGATGCTGAGTCTGCGCAGAGACCTTTGCCCCATTCCAAAAGGACGGCTCCGGTGCCCGGAGCGTCTGGGCGGCGCAATCCGGAAGTGACGTCACTCCGTCAGGCCGCGCGCCCCTACCCGCGGGAGACTTTCCGCCATTTTTTGAAAATCGGGAGGGTCCGGAGCGAAGTGTAGCCGCCGCGATGGCAGCCTTTGCCGTGGAACCCCAGGCTACCACGTTGGGTAAGTGAAAAGCTGCCCTTCCTCGCTGGCACTGCGATCCCCGCCGCAGGCCTGGAAGCGGGCAGAACTGAAAGGCCGGAGCCATCAGGCTCTCGCCTGCTAGTTTCCATCTCGAAGGGGGAGCCCTCGGGCCGCCCGTTTTGTGCCCCCTTAACGGCAGCCCGCCGGACGTGCTGGTACCTGAGACACCCACCCCCCGAGTCCTAGACAGGATCCGGGCATTGTCGGTAGGCAGGGACCTACCCGCCTACACGTGGGTGGGGGTGGGCGGTGCCCCGCGGTGTGGTTGCCTAGCACCGCTCTTGGGTCGCCTGCGCTTGTCCTTCCTGCTGGATTTCACTCCTCTCCTGGCCTTTGCCGGGGAATCTGTTTGATTAAAGGAGCTTGAGTCGTGCGACGGTAATAAACCAGACGATGGCACCCATCGAGATGTGGCCTTAACAAAGGAAGCCCGGAGTTCGCACCTTATTCCCGGCCTTCGTCTTGGGAAAGGGGCCCAGTGTTCTAGGTCTTTTCCTCAGGTCAATCAAGTAATGAATTCTTAAAAGTTTATTCCCATTGCGGAAATATGTCGTTTAAAAAAATCTTTAAAAACCCCACAGGATGCCGATTTCCTTTTTGTCTGCTGAGTTTGGGGACTGTGAGATCTGTGGAAATTTTTTAAACCGTTTACTATAGAGACATATTCGAAAATTAGGTTACAAATTTTCTGAGTTTGGAAAGAGAGTATGCGTGTAATGCATCTGCAAAATGAGTTTTTGTGGGGGTGTTTTGTTGTTTTAGATTGGAATGGTATATAATGCTTTGCATGTTATTGCAAAATAAGTTTCTTTTTAGAATAGACTAACGTGAACTGTTTCAGTATTAGTCATAAGAAAACTAAGTGTATAATAGTGCAAATACGTACTCTGCTACATTTAAATTTATGTACACTTGGTTATGGGCATATCCCCAGTAGGGGGTGTGCAGGAGGCAGCTGATCGATGTTTCTCTCTCATCGATGTTTCTAACTCTCTATCTCTCTCCCTTCCTCTCTGTAAAAAATCAATAAAATATATTTTAAAAAAAATAAATTTATGTACAGGTGGTGGCCTACGTATTTGTGTTTTGCATTATGTTAGAGGTCAGAAAACTGTTCTAGTTCTACAGTTTTCTACTCAAAAAAATTTTCGGAGTGCAAATTTCTTGGCGGTTACAAATGTGAATAAACCAAACCCTTCCCTGTTTATTGTCTAATCAGAGATCTGACATTGATATTACATGTTCAAGCTCTCATATTGCAGATATTCTAGGTGAGGAATAAACATTTTCCCAAAACCTAATGGTATATTAAAAGTAAGCGTTATGCCCTGGCTGGTTTGCCTCCGTGGATAGAGCGTTGGCCTGCGGACTGAAGGGTCGGGTTCGATTTCCGTCAAGGGCACATGCCTGGTTGTGGGCTCCCTCCCCAGTGTGGGGCGTGCAGGAGGCAGCCGATCAATGATTCTCTCTCATCACTGATGTTTCTATCTCTTTCTTCCTCTCTGAAATCAATAAAAATGTTTTTTAAAAAATAAGAGTTACTTCAACCAACAGTGCTACTGAATAAGACAGTACTTATTTTAGCAATACAGACTGTGAAATGGAAGCTAGCTCTCTCATTAAGTGAAATTTAGCCTGAAGGGTGGTGACAGTCTGATGGAGTTCTTTTTGCCCTTACTCTAGTGCTCTCTACTGTATCACCATATATATCCACATAATACCAGAACTTTTTTTGACTTGTTACAATTGCTATATATTTTTCTCTGCTGTTAAATGGGAGAGTGAAGGTAGATGGCGCTACCTAAAACTTCTATTACTGAATATCTGTTCAGAAAATGCTTTTGGTTTGACTTTAGTGTTTGTTCTTTGGAAATATGTAATAGTATCATAGTAATATAGTAACTAGCATTTGAAAATAATTACAATGTAATTATAGTTCTTTCTGCCTTATTTCAGTATTTGCTTTATCTTTTTCCTAAATTACTTTGCCTTTTTCCTCTTTTATGCACTTGCATTGCTAATATCTAGGTCTGTTATAACAAGATATGAGGAAGCATAAACGTGACAGCATTTGGATAGCAAGAAACACATTTTTGAGGCTGTTTAGAAGTTAAGTAATAGTTCATAAAGATCATATAAATAACATACAAAACGTTTGCTATTTCTAAGTGCCATGAATCACATTTAGCTTGTCACATAGTCGAAAATTAAATTTTCATAAGTAGAAATTGCATATTCTACATTTGTACATTTATCATTCAGTTTTGGCTATTATAAACTACTGTTATAATAATAACGAATATTTGCTGAACATTTGCTATATATTCAGTACTGGGTCAAGTGCTTCACTTGCTATAATTCTAATCAAAACTCTGTGAGTGGGTGATACGATTATGCCCATTTTGCTGAGACACTTGAATGCAGATCTCTGACTCCAGAGCCCATGTTTTTCTTATTATGCTATTCTGCTTTAATGGAAATAATAATACCTACCCTGTAAATTGTGAAAACTAATTTTGAAATGATGATTGGTAAGTATCTGTTCTCTTTTTAATTGAATTTATATCAGGGATACTTATTGATTATTCATAATTTTAAAATAAATCATTTTTAAAAATCCAAAAAATACCTTTCCAAATATCTTAAATATGTTTCTTAGTTGGGATGCTAATCATTACTATTATTTCATATGTGCTCTAATGTATACATGATTATACTTTTATTACAAAAAAATATTTACAGTTTTTGTGTGTAAGGAAGAAAAAAATGGGACATATAGTAAGCTAAACATTGTGTTTGATTTGTGTAAGTAACTTGTGTACCTTGTCCTTGTTTTGGTTGTTGCATAGTAGCTGACCCAGAAATGGAAAGTTTTCCTTTATGTATCAGGGATTTTTAAAAATATATATTTTAAACTAATTTTTTTTTTAACCCAGAAGTTTGGGGCCATTCCCTCCCTCTCTCTCTCTGACTAGCCCACTCTGTATTTGGAATGTACCTTCAATAAACATTTTGCTTTAAAAAAATTAAATTATTAAATTCAAAAATAAGTATTGATTCTTTTTTTAAAATATATTTTATTGATTTTTTACAGAGAGGAAGGGAGTGGGATAGAGAGTTAGAAACATCCATGAGAGAGAAACATCGATCAGCTGCCTCCTGCACACTCCCCACTGGGGATGTGCCCGCAACCAAGCACATGCCCTTGACCAGAATTGAACCCGGGACCCGAGTCCACAGGCCGACGCTCTATCCACTGAGCCAAACTGGTCAGGGCAAGTGTTGATTCTTAAACCTGTGAAATGTTAATGAAAACAGTTGTCAAAGATTAATATTGTTAATACAAAATTCTATTATAGTTTTCTAGAAATAATTTTATTCGTTTTTAAAATAATAAATTCAACTGTGGTTTTATAGTAATTAACAACATTGATTAAATTTTCAAACTTATGCTAGATTCTTCCATCTTTTTGTTAGCTATTATAACATTAAAGTCCTTATTTTATTTCTGATTCATTTAGGATCTGAACCAATGATGCTGGGTTCGCCCACATCTCCAAAACCAGGGGTTAATGCCCAGTTCTTACCTGGATTTTTAATGGGGGATTTACCAGCACCAGTGACTCCACAACCTCGATCAATTAGTGGTCCTTCAGTAGGAGTAATGGAAATGAGATCACCTTTAATTGCAGGTGGGTAAATTGCCTAAAATAGTAATGTCAGTATATGTACTAGAATTTTAAAAAGAGTCATGGTGCAGCATTCACTTTTGTCAACCCATTTATTAATTTAAAGCGTTAAGTAATAGCTCTATTTTTTAATATAGGATTCTAAGAATAGAGGTGTAAGCAGTATAAGCTACAGTAGTCCCTATCCTTATCCTCAGGGGTTAAGTTCTAAGACCCCAGTGGATGCCTGAAACCAGAGATAGTATCAAACCCTATATATACTATGTTTTTTTCCTATGCATACATACCTATGATAAAGTTTATAAGTTAGGTAAAGTAAGAGATTAACAATAACACAATAAAATAGAACAATTATAATAATACTAGTGGCCTGGTGCATGAAATCTGTGCACATTAAAAGGGAATTAATTAGAGGAAATATTTTGATATTGCTATTTGCCTTTTTCTATAATAAAAGTGTCAGAGATGAAAGAAAATTAGTAAAATATATGTGAAAATCTTCCTTCTGTCAGAGTCTGGGGCATGCTACAGGACCCAGAGTCAAGTCCCTGCCCACCCGCGTGCACCTCCAAATCATGTGAGACCCAGACCTGGCTGGCCCCACCCCCGTCAAGCCCCGCTGGGTGGGGGGCACAGCCTCAGGGTCCCCATCAAGCCCTGCTGGGCAGGGGGTGCAGCCTCAGGTCCCCTGGTCCAGCGCCGGGGCAGGGGGAATGGCCTGAGGTCCCCCATCAAGCCTTGCTGGGCCAAGGGCACAGCGTCAGGTTTCCTGGCCTGGCGACGGGGTGAGGGGCATGGCCTGAGGTCCCCTGTCAAGCCCCACTGGGTGGGGGTGGGGGGAGTGCAGCCTCAGGTCCCTGCTGATCGCTCGTTATGGGTCGTTAATGGAACCCTGCCTCTTCTGTGGGCGCAGCCATCTTGTGATGGAGTGGGGGTCAATTTGCATATTACCTCTTTATTATATAGGATGCTGCATGTGGTTTTCTCTCTCTCAAAATATCTTATTAACTTTGTACAGCTGGGATACATTGGACAAAGGGATGGTCCATGTTTCAGTCTGGATAATGTGAGATTTTTATCATGTTACTCAGGACGCAATTTAAAACTTACGAATTGCTTATTTTTAGAATTTTCCAATTAATATTTTCAGACTGCAGGTAACTAAAAGTGCAAGTATCAAAATCTCAGTAAGGGGGGGGACCACTGTATTATAATTCTAAGAACCACCCATTAAAAAAATAGCTGATCGATGTTTCTCTCTCATCGATGTTTCTAACTCTCTATCTCTCTCCCTTTCTCTCTGTAAAAAATCAATAAAATATATTTAAAAAAAAATATGCTACTACATTTTATCCAATCTAAGATGCCATTGATTATAAAACTCACCATTATTTAAGTACCACTAAGAAAAAAGAACAAATATGATGAAATGCCAAGATCAATTTTTTTATCTATCATCCCTTTTTCAAATATGGTATAGTATGTGTGTGTGGGTAGGATGGGATATGGTCGTTTAACTTCAGCTGAATTCAACTTAATTAATCTTAAATATAATAATAGCAAATATTCAGTAAAAACCAAGTGTAATTTAAAAGTGGATAAATATGAATTCTACTTCTAGTCAGAGTTATTTAAAGTTCTCATTTATAGTATGTTTAGTGAAAGGACTTACTTCACAAACTGGGGAAACTTTTTACACAGGCTATGTATATCGTCAGTGCAAAATGTTATTGCCTAAATACCACGTATATCTTTTACAGGATGCCTTTAACAAAGGAGTATTTTAAAAGATAACTGAAGTTTTGACTATGAGTAGTGAGAATTAGCTACAAAAATGATTGAATTCCAAATGTGAGCTAATATTCTTTTGGTAGATGTTTAAAGATAAACTCTTCTTTAATTTTCTTTAAGGTATTATTTTGTTTAAAGTGGTTATATTATTTATATATATGTAAAAGATCAGAGGGAATTATAAATTATATTTGAAGTAACTAACTTAAAAACATTCTGGACAGATTTTGGGGGGGGTTTTTTGGTATATATTTTTCAAATGTGTTAATATTGTAGCTACCATATATTGGATACTTAAGAGCTAGGAAGTATGCTAAGTATTTTGTTATTTTTTTTTTTTATCAATCTTGAGGGGTAGGTAGTATCTCAATTTTTCAAGAGGAAACTGAGGCTAAATGCAATAAAGAAATTGCTGAAACTCACATGTTACTACGTGACAGAGCAGGAGGGTAATGCCCAGGTCAGTCCTGTTCTGTAGTCTGTCCTCTAAATAGCTTATGCTGTACTGTCTAGGCTCCGTCATTAGTCTTACAGAGGACACAGGCTGCTTCACTGCTGGGCATTGCTCATTCTCTGACTTATAAAGACTTCTCCATAAAGACTTACAGAGATTTGTGTCTCTAAAAATTGGTTCTTTTAAAAATAGGTTTATTATGCACTGAAATCTCTTTTTACTATGAGAAACATCAATGGGATCTGTTTAATTTTGACAAATGCCACATTATGGGATAATATTTAATCGAGTCTATACAGACGCGTTGTTTAACACCTACTTTCAAGTGAAAAATAGAATCAAGTTTTGTGTTGAAATGCTAAATAAGCATTTTCTAGAGAAAGCAAAAGTTACATGTATTTACTAAAAACTAAAATTTCTGTTTACTTATTCTGGAACCTTTATTCAAAGTGCAGTCTGTGGATCACCAGCATTGGCATCAGTAGGAGCTTATTAGACATTTATAATCCCAGGCTCCACCTCACAAGTTCTGAATCAGAATCTGAATTTTAACAAGGTCTCCGGTGACTTTCGTGTATATTAAAGTTTGAGAAAAACTAGGAGACAAGAGTTTAAGTCAGTATTTTAAAAACGTTTTTAAAAATCTTATTTCCTAGCAAAGTGCTCCTGATCAGTTTCTGCAAAGCAACTCCCTGTCTCTCAGTTTCCTCAGTTGTTAAATAGCAATCATTACTAAGTCGCAGGATTGTGGTCAGGAGAATTAAATTAAATAGTAATGGCAATATGATTATTTTAAAAAATCGTATCAGAAAGATAGAAGGCTTCTTTGTTTTCTCACCTTTTTTTTGGTACATTGTAGGGGGGTCACCACCACAACCAGTTGTACCAGCTCATAAAGATAAAAGTGGAGCACCACCAGTGAGAAGTATATATGATGACATTTCTAGCCCAGGACTTGGATCAACACCTTTAACCTCAAGAAGACAGGTAATACACATACCCTCACTCATATCCACAATTGATAATTTCATGTTTTTAGTTGGCTACAACAGTGAGGGTCAGTAATTTGAAATTTTCTCTGAGTCTGTTGTAGTGTAATTTTGTTGCACAGAATAAGCATTAAGGACATTTATCATAGAATCTACTTAAATAGTGTTTATCATGAAATGCACTTAAAAATGTAATAGACCTCCAGATTATTTTTTCATGTAGGTAATTCTGTGGTTTTTATAGGTATGCCTTTATTCACCTGTCCATGCCCCCAGTGTACTTAATGTAGAAATGTTTATGGTTTAAGTCACTCCAATTCTTTTAAAAGTTTAATATTTACACATGATTCTGTGAAAGAACAAATGAAGATTCAGGGTTTTATCCAGATGTAGGGTACTTCGTAATGATTTGAGATCTTTGTGTTAGGAATTATTTTTTAATGTAAGACCACTATCCTTTTAGAGCTATGTTCACTATTTAAGTATTTTACTAAAAACACTGCCTCCTGCATATTTATGAGCTGATAGTATAGTACAGTGATTTTCAATCAGTGTGCTGCCAAATTTTTAAAACATGCAATACCTTGCCGAACCGGTTTGGCTCAGTGGATAGAGTGTCGGCCTGCGGACTCAAGGGTCCCAGGTTCAGTTCCGGTCAGGGGCATGTACCTTGGTTCAGCCAACACAACAGTAGCCATCTAGTGTGAATGCCCTGTTTTGAACCATAAATACATAGGTCATATAATAGTTTCATCTTATTGGTCATGTCTCATAATAAGGTTACATCTGATTGGTTAATTCTTGGTACCAAAAATCCTTATATACAAGTATAGGCATCTGATTTTTTAAAAAGTCACTTTGAAGCAAAAAGGGTAGCTAATTCTATTATTATTACCTTTACAAATTAAACCTATTTTTTTGTCAGATTGGCAAAAACATATTTTTTGGTGTGCCACAGAATTTGAGTAATTCCTTTATGTGTGCCATATGATGAAAAAGGTTGAAATTGCTCTCTCTGGACAGTGTGGCTCAGTTGGTTGAATGTCATCCCACGCACCTAGAGATCGCTGGTTTGGGGTCCATCTCCAATGGGGAGTGTGCAGGAGATAGCTCATCAGTGTTTCTCTCCCCTCTCCCCACTCCTTCTTCCTTCTTTCTCCCCTCTCCCTCTCCCTTTCCAAAATCAATGAAAACACTTTTTGAAAAAGAGAAAAAAAAATTGCTGGTTTAGTATATTCCTGGTGTAGGTGTTCTGATGGTGATGTATGTTAAGCTTTGTTTGGTGTAGGTATAAGTGTTCTGTGGTGGTGTATTCGGTCAAGAGATTTTGCAAGATAGAGGTCTCTGGTTTGATGGGACTGATTACTCCAAGAAAGTGTCTAATACTGATGAAGTACCTATGGTACACAGGCTCTGATCTTAAGTGATTTGTCAAGTGTAAGGCAGCTAGTTAGTTTAGCAGAGCCAGGCTTGCAACCTAGGCAGTCTTAAATCTAGAGCCAGTGTTTGTAATTCTACCATGATAATTCTTGACTGTCACTGGAAAGGTAGTATAGATTTTTCTTTTAAGTAGGAAGTTTAGTAGCTTTTACAGTTATGTGTTCTCTCCTTTCACATTATTGTGCTTAATAGGACATGCAAACAAAGTAAAGTGTGTCAATAAAAATGACACATTCTTTGTATAAAGACATTTCTGCTGTTTCCTTTGGAGAAATGTTTTATGCCTTTCCCGACATAAAATATAGCATAGTTGTTGGAAAGTTTATTAGAAAGCATCTTTCAGTAAATTTTGACTATAGGCTTGACATCCCTGGCATATTAGGGCTACTTGTCAAGCAAAGCAAAGATAATGCATTATGTTTAGACAATTACATTTTCTACCCAACACTCCTAGATCTGCCCAACTTTCCAGTACAGTAACCACCAGCCAAGTGTGGCTCTTGACTTGAAATGTAACTAGTCCTATATTTAATTGAGATATACTTGTCTACTATAAAATTTAAAATTGCTTATATGACTTATGTTATATTTGGACAGTAGTGTTCCAGACTTAACAAATCCAGAATATTCTGTTTTGGGATATTTTTCTAAAGTTTGGTAAGTAAATATGATGTTCAGTTTGGTGTGAGAACTACTGGCTTAAAGTTTATGTTTTCATTGCTCCTCTGACAATGCATGAAAAGAAAGATAATTTATAGTAATTGCTATGTTCAAAATGTTTAAAAGGCTGGGGATCATAATTTGTAGAGAATGTTTTTGACTTGAAAGTTGGTTAGAATATTATAATTAGGTTAAAACCCAAATTAGATTTGCCTCCTGAGACTTTGCTCAACCTCTCTCTAATTATAAAAGATGTTACTATGAATTGAACAGTACATTTTGTATCTCTCCTAACATTCTTTGAGCATTTGGTTCTCAATGCTAGATGATAAAATCTGGTTGCTAGATTTTAGATTTCCTTAATTCAATCAGAATCTGTTTTTTTAAAAATCTGTATAGCACCAGTTTGTCTCAGTGATAGAGCGCTGGCCCACAGACTGAAGGGTCAAGGGCACATACCTCGGTTGCAGGCTTGATCCCCAGCCCTGGTTGGGGTGTGAATAGAAGGCAACCAATTGATGTGTCTCTCACATCGATGTTTCTCTGTCTCTCCCCCACCTTCCCACTCTCTCTAAAAACCAATGGAAAAATAACCTCAGGTGAAGATTTAAAAAAATCTGTATATATTTACTTCTAGAGAGCCTTGTCATTCTTGATTTGGTATTGTTGTCTTTGTTTATAGAAGGACTTTTAGCTACTTTAATTTTCTCACATTTAAAAGAACTACTATTGATCATTTTGTAACTGTCTACCAGTAGCAGCAGAGGTATACTGTCTTTTATTGTATGGACTGATTTGAATCTATAATACTTCATGGTTTGTGTTTGTTTAAAAATAAAATTTTGCCATCTTTCTGTTTTTCTATGTGAGCTCGGTGATTGAAGAATCACCATTACCTGGGTTAGTTCAAATATTGTACCTTAGGAACTAAAACCTAATACCAGTGTTACTTCCTATTAAAAATAGTATCTTTTTACCACATGTGACTTTACTTAATTTAAACAAATGGTATGATAATGGTCTAGCATATTTTTGATTAATACTGCTCAACTAAAAAAAAGGGGGGAGTACTGTTTGATTGTGAGCTAGTTATAGGCATCTCCAGTAAGGTAGATATTCAGTGGTCTATTGAATGAAGCCCTTTAGCACTTATTGTGTATATGTTATGGTTAGAACTTTGCATTTTTACCATACACTTTTCTTCTCTTTTTATGTAGCCAAACATATCAGTAATGCAGAGTCCTCTTGTTGGAGTTATGACAACTACTCCTGGAACAGGTAAGAGTGCCTTTTAACACCAAAGACCGTTCTCTACTTTTTTGAATGAAGATAATATAAGACCTTTCTTGATAATTGCCAACTTTATTTCTTTTATATTTCAAACTTGGAGACTTTTCCAAATGTAAGTAATTTCTTTCAGAAAGAAAATACTTTGTATATTGATTCTTCTCTGAATTTAAAGGTAAAATGTGAATTATATTCAAAATATTAATAATTTAAAAATATACTTGAGCCGAACCAGTTTGGCTCAATGGATAGAGTGTCGGCCTGCGGACTAAAGGGTCCCAGGTTCGATTCCTGTCAAGGGCATGTACCTTGGTTGTGGGCACATCCCCAATGGGGGGCGTGCAGGAGGCGGCTGATTGATCTCTCTCATCGATGTTTCTAACTCTCTATCCCTCTCCCTTCTTCTTTGTAAAAAATCAATAAAATATATTTTAAAAAATATACTTGATAGTGTCTACTAAGTAAACAAAAACTGTAATTAAAAAAAAGGCCATTGGAATTCGGAAGAAGAATACATAAAAGAGTGAATAATAAAAGGTGTTTTGAGAGATATTAATGCATATTTATAAATCTGTCATTAACTAACAGCCACTGGTTATACCTAGTTTTTTGTTTATTGTTTAAGATTAATGGTATTTTTTTTATCACATCAACATCATCATTAGCATAACTCTTCTTACATATTTATAGTCTATCTCATGTTCATTCAGCAAATAATTGAACACATGATCATGTACCAGGTCCGGAGAAACTGAACGAAATAGATTACCCTTGCCTTTATAGAGCTTACATTTATTTACAGAATTTACATTTATAAATAAAGTAAGTAAATTATACAGTTTGCTAGAAGCTAATACATTTTATGGAGGACAGTCAGTAAAGGGGAGTAGGGAGTGAGGGCTTACAGTTTTTAATAGGGTGGTGTATTAATTTTCTTGTTGCCATAAAAACTTCCCACAAACTTAAAGGTGGCTTAAATAATACAGATGAATTATTAGCAGCCTAATTCCATCTGCAACCTCATTCTCCTTTGCATATAATGTAATGTATTCCCAGGTTCCAGGGATAAGGACAGGGACACTGGAGGGTAGGGCATTATTCTGCTTTCTATAGGTAGGGTAAAGAAACATTTGGCCAAAACCCTGAACTTAAGTAAGGGAGGTAGGGGAAAGTGTTATAGACAGGAAATAACAAGCACAAAGGCCCTGAAGTGGGAGTGTGCCTAGGGTGTTAAAAAAAAGAGTAAGGAGGCTAGTGTGAAATGAACTGAGTGGGGGAGAGAATAGTAGGCAGTGAGGTTAAAGAGGTAGTGGGGGCTAATGTTACAGGGCCTTGAAGGTCATTGTAATAACTGGTTTTTCCTCAGAAAAGGTAGAAAACAGATAGAATGAGACTGCTGCTGTGGTGAGAATAGACTTTGGGGTAAGGGTAAGGGTGGAAGCAAGGAGACCAGATAGAAGGCTACTGCATTAATTCAGGTGAGGGATGGTGGTGGCTTAGATATAAAGGAGGCGGGCCCTGGCCAATGTGGCTCAGTTGGTTGGAGTGTTGCTCCATGCACATTCCAACCAACAGGTCGAGAGGTCGTGGTTTGATTCCTGGTCTGGTTTGATTCCTGGTCTGGGCACCTGCCTAGGTTGTGGGCTTGATCCCCAAGAGGGGATGTGCAGGTGGCCGCTCTCCCTATCTCTCTAAAAGCAATAAGAACACCTTTTAAAAAAATAAACAATAGCAAAATTTAAAATGAACCAAATCAACAATTATATAACACAAATTGTAATAAACACCCAGGTAAAACATTGTGTCAGAATGCATAACAAAAGCAGTATCCAAATCCAGATTTCGGTTAACCAGTCTGTGAATCCTCACTGGCAGTGTCCTTAAAGTCCAGATATCTACTTGCAGTTTGTTCAAAGCTATTTAGGCTTTTTCTATTATGCTCTAATTTCTTGCAACCTCTACTCACCGCCCGATTCCAAAGCCACTTCCACATTTTTAGTTGTTACAGCAGTACCCCACTTGTACCAATATATGTATTACTTTTAAATTGCTGCCATGACATTACCACAAGCCTTATTGACTTAAAACAATCCACATTTATTATTGTGTTTCTATAGGTCAGATGTCCGGACACAGGTTGGTTCTTTCTTTAGAGCTCAGGTGCCAATAGGGATATGTTCCTTTCTGGAAGCCCTGGGGATGAGCTGCATCCAGACTCATTCAGGGTATTGGCTGAATTCCGTTTCATGTGGTTAGGACTGAGGTCCCTGGTGTTTTGCTGGCTGTCACCTGGAGGTTGTGCTCAGCTTCTAGGGGCTGCGCTCATTCCTTGGCTCGTGGCTCTCCTTCCATCTTGAACACTAGAAAGACCGAAATTTAGTATATACCTATATTGCCCAAAAGCAGTCAAAATGACTGCATTGTGAAAGAATAATATCAGAGCACTCTTCACTTATGTTCCTTAGCTTTTCCAATAACTCCTATTCGACATTTCTTTAATGAATTTAGGGCGCAAAAGAAATAAACAACTTATTAGAACAAGTATCACTGCATAAAGATTCGAATAACAAGTACTAGTTTAGCTTATTGAGCAACTGCAACTTATCCAGTATCGACAATTTATCATGTACTTGTATGTTTTCATGTGACGGTAATCGGAAAAAAAATGAAAACTGTTATTTCAATACACAGCCGAACTGGTCATATAAGAAATTTAGTCAATTCAATAATGAGAGTCATAATTTCCCCAAGCAGTCAAAATGACTGCTTTTGGGCAATATAGGTATAACACATATATATATACCGGAAATGAAGGAGGGGGAGGTAACTACAATTATTAATAAACGCATTTATATGTTGTATAAAAAGTCACAAAATTCTAAGAAATTCTGTCATTATATACATCATTGTTTTTCTAATTGAAATTAAAAAGCAGTCAAAATGACTTCCTTGGGCAATCTAGTGTTAAATATAGCCAGTGGTAGCTAAATCTTTTGTGTGCTTGGAATCTCTCTGACCTTTCATGGTGGATCTTTGACTTGACTTTTCTGCCAGCTGCTGCTAATTCTTGCTTTTCTGTTTTCAATATTGCTATAGTTAAGGTGATTGGAGATGTTACATCTTATCTCTCCCACATTATCTTTGTTATTCCTTTGTTATTTTTATATTATTATGACTATCTAAAGCATTGTCAGTGCTGATTCAAGTATTATAATTTATCCTTTCTGTAAATTTTTTTCTTTAGTTAATAATTGTCTTTTTCTCCATTTGTCTAATTTTCTATGTGCCATTTGCTCCCTTTTTTTAAGCAAATGTTCTTTTGCTGTTATACATCTGTCTTTTTTTAAATGTTCATATTGTCAGACACATTTTTAAATTTGTTTTCAACTAAGACCATCTCTCTTGTAGCCTCTCTTGGCTGTTTTCTGTTTCAGCATGGTGTACAGCTATCATCCTAGGACTTGCTTTAGCAATTTCTAAAGTTTAGCTTTTCCCTAGATGACATGCATTCTTAGTTTATTTCTAAAAATAATATGTTTTGGTGAAGAACATATTTGAGTAGCTTTCTAGGAAAGCTTGCATGGGAAGTGAAATTTAAGACCTCTTCTGAAATCCTTTTTTTCTGTCTTTACACTGAATTGCTAACTTGGCTAGGTATTGTATTTTACATCAGAATTTTGGAGGCATCATTCCATTGTCTTCTAGCTTCTAATGTTCTATAGAACTTATTTACAGTGTAGATTCCTAAGCCTTTGTATGTGGCCTGGTTTTGAAAAATTTAAGATCTCTCTGTGGTTTGTGTTCCCAATTTCACAAATAGTGCCTTGGTTTAGGACTTTTCCATTTGTTTCGCTAGGGAATTAATTGACGGATCCTTTAATGACACCCATAGTACTGGGAAACTTCCTTGTACAGTATTTGATAATTGTCCTCCCTCTGTTTTCTCTGTCCTTTCTTCTTGGAGTTCCTCCTAATTATGAGCAGTGTAGATTTTTCTAATTTTCTACTTTTTCTCCCTTACATTGTCTTTTTACCTATATTCTACTTTCTGAGAGCTGTCTTCAATCTCAGTTTCCAACTCATTTTTTTGTCGTTTTAATTCCCACAAACCTTTTCTGTTGTTGATTTTTTTAATGTACTTAAAAATGTAGCTTCCTATTCTTGTTTCATAGATGTAGTAATAACTTACCAGTGAGATTAATGTTGGTCTTTTTTATTCCTGCTCATATTGTCTATTTTCTTCTGGCATCCCAACTCATCTCAGGTAAAAGCCTAAGTCTTTACAGTGGCTTACAAAGTTTTTTTTCATGACCTGGTATCTTGTTATCTCTCTGTGCTCATATAGTTGTTCTGACTTCATTGTGTAATCTCCCTCATTACTGTGCAAAGACTGGCCTTTTTTTTTTTTATTATTCTTTTCTTTTTTAAATATATTTTTATTGATTTCAGAGAGGAAGGAAAAAGGAGTGAGAGATAGAAACATCAGTGATGAGAATCATTGATCTGCTGTTTCCTGCATACTCTCTACTGGGGATTGAACCTACAACTCAGGCATGAGCCCTTGGCCAGAATCGAACCTGGGACCCGTAAGTCCGCAGGCGGACATTCTCTCCACTGAGCCAAACCAGCCAGGGCAAGACTGGCCTCCTTGCTCTTTATAAAACACCAGTCCATGTCCTTTATCAGGGCCTTTGTGCTCACTTTTTTCCCCAACTAATATTCACATCTTCACAAATTGGCATGTTCTGCATCCCATCTCCTTGAGGTTTTGTTTTAATGGCATTTTAGTGAAAATTTTTTTCATTAAACCTTTTCACAGATGTATCTACATACTCCTTGTCTCCCTTTTCTGCTTTTTCTTTTTCTGTAGGATTTTCTGTTTTCTGGCATATTAGGTATTTACTTATTTGCCTCTTTCACTAGCATATAAGCCCCATTAGAAATAGGGTTTTTTGTTGTTGTTTGGTCCTCATCCATTTATACCTTTTATATTTATTTTAGAGAGAGAGACATAGAAAGAGAAACGTCAATTGGTTGCCTCCCATATGGGGATCAAACCAGCAACCTAGGTATGTGCCCTGATTGGGAATCTAACCCACATCCTTTTTGGTGCCTGGGATGATGTTCCAACCAACTGAGCCACCCAGCCAGGGCTGTTGTTTTTTTGTTTTGTTTTGATTTTTAATTTATTTATTTACTTCTTCCTTTTTTAAAAAAAATTTTTTTTATTGATTTCAGAGAGGGCAAGAGAGATAGAAACATCAGTGATGAGAGGGAATCATTGATTGGCTCCCTCCTGCACACCCCACACTGGAGATTGAGCCTGCAACCTAGGCATGTGCCCTGACTGGGAATCGAACCGTGACCTCCTGGTTCATAGGTCGACACTCAGTCACTGAGCCACGCCGGCCGAGCTGTTGTTTTTAAGTCTAACTGTTTACTACTGTATCTTAGATACCTGGAATTATGCTTGGTACATATTTAATACTGAAAAAATATTTTTTCTTTCCTGAAAAAATATTTCTTTATGAGTGAATCATTATTACTACTCCAGAGACTAAAGACAAATGGTCTCTCTCTACTGCTCAGAAACATGTGGTCTCAATAAGACACCTCTGAAATAAAATGAACACGGACAGCATTTAACTTGGCATGTTGGACATGTAGACATACTGATTAATTGGTATCTGTCATTGAAGGATAAGAAAAGAATCAGACATTTCAGATGGAAATGACCTGAACAAAAGAAAACTGCATTCACATCTTAGGAGTTAGGGTAGGGACTATTTAGTAGTATATTGGAGAAATAAGGGTAGAACATTAGAGTGGAGGCCTGGGCATTTGGATTTTGTTCTGTGGGTAATGAGTTGTTACTGAATATTCTTAAGGCAGAGGAGCCATGAGAAAAGGTTTGGAAGATGAACCCAACAGAAGTCTTTGAGGTTGACTAAAGATCCTTCTGGGGTAGGCTTAACCGAAGATGAATAAAACATTTGCAAAATCTTAAGTTATTCTCACTTATTAATGACTTCTCAAATTGTATGGTGGTATACAATTATTTCAGAACAGTTGTGTATTTGAAATTATTTATGCAATTGCCAATTTTTAATATATTCTTTCCTTTAAAACTAAAAGCTTTGATTTAAAAAATAACCAAAATGTTTATATTGGTAACTAACTTACTAAATATACTAATATAGGGCAAAGTATGTTTAGTCCAGCAAACATTGGTCAACCACGAAAGACAACATTATCTCCTGCGCAGTTGGATCCTTTTTATACTCAAGGAGATTCTCTGACTTCTGAAGATCACCTCGATGACACATGGGTAACTGTGTTCGGGTAAGGTTTCTGGATCATTTACCATTAAAAAAATAATACCCCCTCATCAACGTTTTATAATGAGTTTTCTCAAATATACAAAATAATTAAAAGAATTGCACAGCAGACACCCAGATACCCACCACCTAGATTCTGCACTTAACACTTTGCTACATTTATTTTTGTTGGTGCATTTCAGAGTAAGGTGCAGACATCAGTACAGATCACCCTGACACTTCATCATGCACATTGTTATCTAGAGTTTAGATTATTTTCTCTTCTGTGTATTTGCTGGACATTGGAACAGGGTTGTCCCATTAGACTTAGGAAACTCCTTTCTATCTTTCTGGTTAGTGACTGTTTGCTTAATAGGGACTTTATCAGTTTGGAACTGACAAATTGAATTTCATATAAATGCTATGTCACAAGTATACATATATTTTCTAGTCACGGAATATTGAATAGTAATAGAAATTGTGCCTGACACATCTAGATGCATTTTGAATAGATTTTAAAAATTTTATCTTTATTGTTGAAAGTATTACAGATATCCTGTTTTTTCCCATTGACCCCTCCTCGCCTGCATCCTCCCCGCCCCAGGCCTTCACCACACATTATATCTGTGGGTTATGCATATCTATATATATCTATAAAAGCCTAAGAGACCATTAACAACAGAACAACCGGTTGCTGTGATGCACACTGACCACCAGGAAGCAGATGCTCAATGCAGGAGCCTGCCGGCCAACCTCCAGGTCCCTTTCCCTGGCTAGCAGGCCCCAGGGCTGAGCCGGGGAACAGGGGTTGGGTGGCAGTGGATGTGGCCCCTTTCCCAGGGGGGATGAAGGTCCCTCCCCTCAGCCAGCAGGCCCCTATCGGCCCGCTGCCAGCCTGCTGCGGTGGCGGTTGGCCTCTTCCCCCAGCCAGCAGGTCCCGATCACCCGATCGGGTCTGGCGCTGGGCTGGAACGGGGAACCAGGGGCGGGTGGCAGCTGACATGGGCGGTGAGGGAAGGAGGAGTCGGTGAGACGGGGAACCTGATCCACCCTGAACGCTGGCCAGGCTTAGGGACCCGACCCATGCATGAATTTCGTGCACCGGGCCTCTAGTATGCATATAAGTTCTTTGGTTAAACCTACCAACCTACCCACCCACCTCTGCCTTCACTCTGTGATTTGACAGTCTGGTCCATGCTTCTATGTCTGGATTTGTTTTGTAGGTTCCACATATAAATGAGGTCATGTGATACTGGTCTTTCTCCGACTGATTTATTTTGCTTAACATAATATTCTCCAGATTGAATAGATTTGTAGATCAAAAAAGTACTTTAAAGCATCTTGAGATATTGCATCATTTACTGTTGAGGAAACTGATATATAAATGGATTGATTTATTCAGAGGTTTATATCTAGTTATCAGTAAAGCTTCAGCAAAAATCCCTGGTCTTCTGATTTTTAAACTCTTATTGTTTATACTGAACTATATAAGATTTGTTTCTGAAAGTGTTATATGTCATACTGATATCAGACCTAATTATATTTCATTTGGGGGGTAAAAAAATATATAAAAATAACACATGAGCTCCTTGAAAGAAGAACAATGCATAGTAAATGTTAGTGGATTTTATTCAGTTTATTTAAAATTCAAAAGAATAAGAATATACAGTGAAAAGTTTTCCTTCCTGGTTTGGTCCCAAGCTACAGTTTTTTCCCTTTAAAGCAATAATTGCCACCTATATTTTGTATAATCTTTCAGAGAGATTCTATGTGTTACTGATTCGATATATATAAAAAGTTAAAAGCAGGACCATTGCTTTTTCTTGTTCTGCAGAAAACCTGCACTCAGCTCTTTATTCATAACACTTGGGCTGGCTACTTGATTTTTGTGTGTGTTTGTTTAAATTTTTATGTTCTCTCATGAATTCTGTTTTTTTAATTTGGACGTCCACTCCAAAGTCTGTTTTTTATGCTCAGTAGTAATGGTGTCAGTTATAAGATTCCTTAGTAATTGTGTAAATTACTTTAAGTACTTCTTCTAGTCCTTTTTTTTAAAAGACATACACTTTCTCAGCTATTTATTTTCTGTTGGTTTTATTTTTTTAGTAACCCTCTACATGAGTTTAGTTGCAGGAATTAAAACATTTCTTCTAGTGGATAAAATATTTTGATCATTTATAGAGAAATACATCAGGGTCAGTATGGTATTCCATTCGTTGCTTTAGGGTGATTCTTTTACAGGATATTGAAATGTTCCTAGTCAAAGTGGTCCTAGACTCTTAGAATTATGTTTTATTTCTGAAGTACCTTCCTCACATGCAACCATTATTTTCCTCCTTCATTTGTTAGGCACCCTGTCTCATTTGTTGTTTTTCTTTAGGGTTAGAAATCATATTCAAGCTTATCTAATCTAATAAAAGAGAAACATGCAAATTGACCATACCTTCACTATGCCCCAAGCCACGCCCACCACCAATCAGAGCGATTATATGCAAATTAACCCAACCAAGATGGTGGCCAGCAGCCACAGAGCTGGAGTAAGCAACACCCCCCCACCCAGGCTGGCCAGGCACCCCAGCAGGACCCCGACCCTGATCCGGGACACCCTTCAGGGCAAACCAGCCAGCTCCCATCCATGCACCAGGCATATAATAAAAGGGTAATATGCAAATTGATCCTAACAGCAGAACAAGTGGGAATGACTGGTCACTATGACACACACTGACCACCAGGGGACAGATGCTCAATGCAGCTGCCCGTTAGTGGTCAGTGCGCTCCCACAGGGGGAGCTCTGCTTAGCCACAAGCCAGGCTGATGGCTGCCAGCACAGCAGTCATGGTGGGAGCCTCTCCCATCTCCTCAGCAGCGCTAAGGATGTCCAACTGCAGTTTAGGCCTGCTCCTTGCTGGCAAGTGGACATCCCCCAAGGGGTTAGGCTGGCCAGTGTAGGAGCTGCCCCCTGGTGGTCAGTGTGCTCTCACAGGGGAGGAGCTCTGCTCAGCCACCAGCCAGGCTGACAGCTGCCAGTACAGCGGTGGTGGTGGGAGCCTCTCCTGCCTCCTTAGCAGTGCTAAGGATGTCCGACTGCAGTTTAGGCCTGCTCCTTGCTGGCAAGTGGACATCCCCCAAGGGCTCCTAGGCTGCCAGAGGGATGTCTGACTGCCAGCTTAGGCCCAATCCCCTGGGGAGCAGGCCTAAGCCAGAAGGTGGACATCCTCCTAGGGGTCCCAGACTACGAGAGGCACAGGCCAGGCTGAGGGATCCCCCCAAGTGCACAAATTTTTGTGCACCGGGCCTCTAGTATAACATAAAATTCCAGTCCTGGGTGCAGTGAGTATTTTACTCACATAGATTTTAATGTGTGGTGTTTCTCATTTATTTTGGGGGACTCAGATTTTTTATATTTTTTCCTAATCCTGGCTCCAGATAACTGAATTCCTGGCTAAGGGAACTCCAGATTTTCAAATTGAAATAGCTTTTTGGACTATATAAGTATTAATGTCTTGTAAAATATTCAAATCATAGAGAACTTGATAAAGAAGAAAGTAAAAGTCACTTAGAATTTTCCCATACAGAGTATATGGCTATTAATATTTTAGTAACCATCCTTTTAAATGTTTGTATATGGTTGATACTGGCACTGACTGTTATTTTTGTTTCAGGACTAAATTTATGAATTTTCAGGTGCTTGGTATATAATGATATGACTATATAATTGTAAATTCTTTCCGTTTTAATAACTGTAGTATACCTAGCCCTAGCCAGCTTGGCTCAGTGGATAAAGCGTCAGCCTGTGGACTAAAGGGTCCCAGGTTCAATTCCGGCCAAGGGCATGCCTGGGTTGCAGGCTTGATCCCCAGTAGGGGGTGTGCAAGAGGTAGCTGATAAATGATTCTCATCATTGATGTTTTATCTCTTTCTCCTCCCTTTCTCTCTGAAATCAATAAAGAAATATATATATATTTTTAAAAATAATAATAACAGTAGTGTACCTAAATATTTCTCTCTCCTCTCTCTTTTTCTCTGACACACACACCGCCCTTGTAAAATAAATTATATACAAAACTGCAACTTTTTAATTTATTCTGAGGGCTATGATAGTGGCATTGAGAGAATTTCAGAGGTTTCAGGGAAGGAATCTGGAGATATAGTAGAATGGCTGAGTCAAAACTAATTTTAACATTTACTTTTGGGCGATGGGCAGTGGTAGATTCAGCTGATGGGGGAAATGGGATGATCAAGGATTTCCTGTGGTTCTAGACCAGCTATTTTCAGGAGGTGTGCCACAAGAATTGTTAAAGCATGCAATGCCTGACTAGTCAGGGGCACTGACCTCTTTTCCCTTATTTTGTCAAATAAAAAAATGACAACAGCCAGTACAGCAATAGCCATCCATTGTGAATCAAATTTATGCCTGTTGGGTTTTTTTTTTGGTCAGATCAGCAAAAGACATATCTTGGTGTGCTGCAGAATTTTAGTAGTTTATGTGTGCCATGAGGTGAAAAAAGTTGAAAATTGCTGTTCTAGACAGTTGGAAGGAATTTATTTTGAAACACTTGTAAGTGTGGTGATTTCTATTCATATTTATTGTTGGACAACTCTCTTTTTCAGGTTCCCTCAGGCATCTGCTTCCTATATATTATTACAATTTGCACAATATGGGAATATCTTAAAACATGTGGTAAGGCTTAATTCTTTTCACTTCAAGATTTAGGCTGAGGACAGATAAGCTATGAATAGAAGGAAACTTTGCTGCTGAATTTTGTCTGCTCCTACTTTTTTTTAAGTTTCATGGACTATTTCTGTTAGAGTCTGGAAAGCTGGAAATTGTATAGTATTTGTCAAAAAGGGACAAAAAGAGAAAATAAGCCAGAGAACTAGAATTTCAGGCTTCTCTCCAACCCTTTTCTTAATTAGTTTACAGTCTTTTAAAAACATAAATTATGCCATATATTATATTACTGTTTTCCAATTTGAGCTTGTTTTATTGGGGATAAAGGAAAAGAGGTGTTCCTGACTTAGAGTTCTCAAGGATTTTTAGCTTATAGAGAGCTTTAAAAAAAAATCCTTATCCAATGATATGTGTGTTTTTTTGATTAATTAAATTTTTTTAAAATAGAGAAAGAGAAGCATCAGTTGGTTGCCTCCGTATGGGTCCTGACCAGGAATGGAACTCAAAACCTTTTGCTCCAGCCACTTGGCCAGGGCTTTGTTGTTGTTGTTGTTGCTGTTACTGCTGCTGCTGTTATTATTATCTTAGCCTTACACAAGTTATAAATAACAAAGTTTTTTCTATTACTAGAGATTGACTTATTTAACTTCTACACAAAATCAGGTGATGAATACAGTTTTAAAAATTTCATAGCAAGTATTGATAAGAACTTTTTACTAGAAACTTATCTTTTGAGAATTACTTTACTTTCAGATAATCTTTGTCACATATTCTTTATTTTAGAGAATTGAGAGCTAGATAGAGATTATTGAAATTGTTTAATGGGATTTATGTTGAGTCCAACTATATAGCTTTTTATAGTGCATCAAATAAAATGTGGAAGCAGATTTATCTTCGTATATTTCTAGTTTCTAATGTAATTCATTGAGTTTAGATTTTATATATTCTACATTTTAAGAGACAACTTTATTCTTTGCAGATGTCTAATACCGGAAATTGGATGCATATTCGTTATCAATCTAAACTGCAGGCTCGGAAAGCCTTAAGCAAAGATGGGAAGATTTTTGGCGAGTCCATCATGATTGGTGTAAAACCATGTATAGATAAAGTAAGTTATTGCTG